GAGGCCTACTAATGATTCTTGTTAGCGAAGTGCCACTAAATAGTAATACAATTATATTGTGAAAATCATTAACTTAATTAACAGCTATATTTTCAACGGTCTTGACATAGTTGTCTTCTTCTTTTGAATAATTACTTCAACTATTGAGCATAATGTTCTCTCATTTTCAGTCATTATTGTTAGCTTTTTTTGTTGGAATTACAAAAGCAATAACGAGTAGGAATTCCATAATTTTCTTGCTTATATTTTTCGGACACACACTGTGTGTGGTTGTAGGGCCTGGACCTTGTGTTTCTGCAAGACGATCTGACTTGAGAAGAATAACAGGACTGTTAAGTATATTGGGCTATAATTGTTGGCCCAGTTGAGGTTTTTGGGATGATTCCTCCTTGCCGACAACTACGTGTGCAATACAAGTGTTGACCAAGTGGTAACCTATTTCTTGAGCTGGGAGATACACTATTCAGTACTTTTGATGTTACAAAAATAACAATTAGCAATTCATTCTATTATTATTCTTACAATTAGCAAAATAAAAAAACCTAATTTAAAACAATTTAGGTTAATTTAAGTACACCCAATATTCTTCAATAATCTCTCGAGAGCGTGAAGATCTGGTTTGATCCAATAGATTTTGTTTAATGGATAAGGTTGGCCGCGTGTTAAGATCTCAAATGTTGGTTTATGATTTGATAAGCAATGCACATCTTAGAACTTTATTAGTAGAGTAAAGCATTTTTTTGGATCGTCGATAAATAGTATGAGGCTCAATTTAATCATTTCGGAAAAGAAAAAAAAGTTGACTCGTGATATTTTTAAATTTTAAAATAAAAGTTTTTTTAAGAAATTAATGTGGATCTTTTTTGAATTAAAGAGTGACTACAATTTCAATTCACTGTATCTATTTTAAATTTTAGAAAGAGCATAATTTAATTTTTTTTCGTAAGGTATTAAAATAATTTTCATAATTTTTGTTGATGACCCAAAATACTTTACTCTTATTATTAACTAATTTGATCTGCTCTCTAAGACATATATCGCTACAATTATTTCTTTATAGATTGTCGCTGTCCGTATAAGAATACCCCGTAAGGATTTAAATTAAGTGTAATGAATTATAAATTGGAAAAACTTCAAAAAAAAAAAAAAATGCCGTAAGTTTTCTCAGAATTATTTATCCTCTCTTTAAAAATTTGAATAATTTACGTTCTTAATTTAAATTTTTTTATCACTTATTCCTCTAAATTAGAAAGATAAGTGATAAAAAAACTTTAAATTAAGAGTGTAAGTGATAAAAAAATTTAATTAAAAATATAAATAATATAAAATATTAGGAAGAGGGTAAGTAATTTTAAAGAAAATTTACATGTTTTTTTTTTTTTTTTTTGGTAAGTTTTCCCTTATAACTTTATTCTTGTGAAAAAAAGTTAAGCATGAAAAGGTTATTACTTGTTTGTGTGTGTGCGTGTCGGAACACTATCAAAGTGCTACTGTTCACCAATTTTTTTATCTAAATACCACGCGAACAGTCTTATTTTCTAATTTGTCACGAGGGCAAGTTCGCTACCCGGTGTAGCGAACTCGGTTTGCTGACATGTCACATTTTTAGAGGATAACAAGTACCAAATTAAAAAAAAAAAAGTTTGAAGGTCGCTACATAGAGTAGCGAACTTGGTGTCCACTAGAAACGTGACACGTCAGCAAACCGAGTTCGCTACACCGGGTAGCGAACTTGCCCCCGTGACAGATTGAGAAATAAGACTGTTCGCGTGATATTTAAGTAAAAAAGTTGATGAACAGTAACATTTTAGTTACTGTTCCGTGCGTGTCTGTCTGTAAAAAAGGTCTATGTAATTTTAATTTTTTTTAAATTCCCATTGTATTATTTAAAGATGCATAAATATACACATGAATGCAACATAATACTGCTACGTGGATACAATAAATTGTAAAAGTTATAAAACAAGACCTGGCTAAGATAAAATATATAATATTAACACAAAATCAAAGTTGAAATAAAGACACAGTGTTTTATAGGTCAACACTAATCATTATAAACATATAAAATTATACTTTACTTATATTAGAATAAAATTTTAAAAATAAATTTTAAATATCTAAAAAGTATCTAAAAAATACCCAACACCATAAGTATATACCTTCCTAATTTCAAACTCAAAAGCCATACATGTAATTGAAATTGTTAAAATTCAAAAAGGAATAACACACACACATATATATATATATATAAGGTTTTATAAGAGTTATGTTGTAGGAAAAGTGATTGTGTTATGTTATAGAGATTCGTTTTGCGTGCCAAGAGTTTTTTTTTTTTTTGCTGCAGGCCCCACAAAATGTTGTGAGTGTAGGAAATTTTTTGTTGTCGTGTTAAATGATAGATGATAAACTCATATATATATAGGGGTAGGTTATATTTACAAAAAAATTTGTTTACAAATTCCTACAAACTACACTATCTTCTCTCGGAAAAATACTAGTGTAAAAAAAATTTGTAAACGGATCATTTCCCCTATATATATATATATATATATATATATATATATATATATATATATATATATATATATATATATATATACGGGAATAAAAAAATTTCAGGTATTTGAGATAAGCTTATCTCCAATTACTCCTTATAACTATTATTCTCCGGAATACATAGTTATAATATTAAATTGCTTTTTATCTCTCCAAAAAATTTCAGAAATTTGTCGGCTGACATGAAGTGAAAAAAAAAATTAATAATATAATTATGTATTCTAACCATGTACATCCCGGAATACATAATTACAAGGGGTGGCTGGAGATAAGCTTTTCTCAAGTAGCTGAAAAATATTTTTTTTCCATATATATATATATATATATATATATATATATATATATATATATATATATATATAGGGGATGGATCTTTTGACTCTAGAGTAAGACTTACAACTCTTACTCTCCATCTCAACCGTTGATTTCCGTCCATCTAACGGTTATTATTTATTTGAAATTAATTAGTATAGATAATCGTTAGATGGACGGAAATCAACGGTTGAGATGAAGAGTAAGAGTTGTAAGTCTTACTCTAGAGTCAAAAGATCCCTCCCCATATATATATAGGTCAGGATCATTTTACACCAGTATAACTTACATTCTAAATCTTGATCATCTATCAAATTTATATCTAACGATTTTGATTTATTGCAAATTTAAGCTATTAGATGCAAAAAAATCAACTATCAAGATTTAGTGTAAGACTTCTTATTCTTTCACCATTGTAAGAATATTCTGCCCCTATATATATATATATATATATATATATATATATATATATATATGGAAAAAAATGTTTCGACTTTTACTCCAAAAATAAAGTGAATGTGTCCCATTGTAAAGAGAAGAGAGAGAAAAGATTAGTAAGATCCACTCACTTTTATGTGAATGTGACAAAGAGATTTTTTATGCAGTAATAGTTTTATATATCTCTAACACGTACGCTCACAAAAGAGTCTATTTGACTTCAAAGATGAGTGATAAATTAGGTGAGGATCGAACCCGGGACATGAAACTTTGATATTATATAAAGAACCAATTCAACCCAAAAACTTAAGCCGGTGGATAAATTTTTTTTTTATGATTTATATTATTCTCCAACAATATATATATATATATATATATATGAGGCAAGATCCTTTGACACTAGTGTCAAATATGAAATTTGAATTTGATACCTCATCTGAGAGTCGTTAGATCAAAAAAGATCAACGGTGTCACATGCTTACAAATCAGAGCCGTTGATCTTTTTTGATCTAATAATTCTCAGATGAGGTTTCAAATTTCAAATTTGACACTGGTGTCAACGGCCTCTATATATATATATATATATTAACGTAAGTTTTGTATCATTTTCTATATCGTTTAATAAATTTGTATCAAAATCATACTCATTTAAAAAGGTGAAAAACACAGGGGGCGGGGACCATCATGGGTGGCGCCCGAAGTCAGTACTCAGTGACAGTACACACTAAACAGCCAAATTTGCGTGTCTTAGCCAAAGTCTTGTCAGAGATCAATGGACTTCACAGAGAACCCAAAGATGAAATGGAATGAACCCTTGTCTGGCAACTTGAAAGACCAAGTGCTTTATCTTTTATCATTTTCGTGCCCGTTTATTGTAATAGCTAAGTTCTGACACAAGTTCTTAACAAAATATTCTTTTACCTCATATTCTTTTGTTCAATATTTGCGGTTAGATATTATGTATGGTTCAGTTTGTATACATTTCGTTAATCAATGTTCTCGACTTAGTCAAAAGTAAATCATTCATTCAACACAAGATTAGGAAATTCATAACAAAAAAAAAATCTGTAGACCAAGAAAATATCAAGTTAATCTGTTGACCATTATGCTTAGACGCATGTTACATGCTAAAAGGTATTAAATAATTAATACTTTTAAGTTAAAATATTAGTTGGTTGGTTATAATAGAACGTCATTAAGTGTTAAAGACTAAAGAGGGATTTAGAAAGCAAGTAGAAAATATACTGAGGGAGATGCAGCATGCATTATGTAAACATGTTTATTTGCTGTATCCATGGATGATGGGGTGAGATTTGGAGCAAGAGGGAGGGTAATATATGAGTACCTTTTGTTGCGTTTGATTACCATCATCTCATTGACTCAGTCTTTGCCTTGTTTCTTAAGATAGCCAGCTCAGTAGGTTACAAATACTGACAATACTGGTTATGAGTTAGGACAGAAAAGGTAAAAGTGTAAAACAAAACCACAAAAAGGAAACAAATCAAACACCCCAATCAGTCTTTCACTCAGACAAAGTCAAGCTTTTCAAACGTGCCAGCCAACTTCCAATCCATTTTAAGTGTTTTTCTTTTTCTTTTTCTTTCTAAACCATATAATCTTGTGCTCACTTTTGATATCTTGTCTCACCAATCTCTTTTTCTCTCTTTCGATCCTTCAGTACTCACGAGTTGGCCATGGGAAGAGCTCCATGTTGTGACAAAGCTAACGTGAAAAGAGGGCCATGGTCTCCTGAAGAAGATGAAACCCTCAAAAACTATCTCAAGAAACATGGCACAGGTGGTAATTGGATAGCTCTCCCACAAAAAGCAGGTTTCTCTCTTCTTCTATATTTCACTACATCCTCTGATATTGTTTCTTTTTGTCACCCGCTTTTTAGGTTCGTTTGTTTATTCTATTCTGTTCAATACTTTTTGTGTGTCCTCCCTTTTAAGGCCTTAAGCGCTGTGGGAAGAGTTGTCGTCTGAGATGGCTGAACTATCTAAGGCCTCATATCAAGCATGGAGGTTTCACTGAGGAGGAAGATAAAGTTATCTGCACCCTTTATGCTAACATCGGAAGCAGGCAAGTTCATTCCTTTCTATGTATATTCATATTATGAAGCTTGTGTTTTTTAATGCCTTGTTTTACTTGTTCATTCCTTATGCCATTATGACTATTTTTGGGGTTAGGTGGTCTCTTATAGCTGCTCAATTACCTGGGAGAACGGACAATGATGTGAAAAACCACTGGAACACTAAGTTGAAGAAAAAGTTTTTTGCAACAAACACCAATGCCACTGGGAACACTGGTTCTTCACAATTCTCAACTTTCACTCCTCAGCCTCAAGTTGAAGCCTTTGTCTTTGATCATAAGAACTCTGCTGATGATCACTCCCAATATGTTTTAGGTTTGGAGCAAACACCAATTACAGTTCCTTTATCAATGCCTTTGGAATCGGACGTTTCAGGTCTTGGAAGCAGCATGAGTAACACTTGTGGTATACCACTCGCCAAGGAAGTTTCAGTTCTTTCAAATTCAACTTCCTTGGCCAAGGAGAATGATATTGATACCCAATGGTTTGGGTATTATGACCATGAAGGTGAAGATGAATCAATTTTACTTGATTTTGTGTTTGAAGATCTCCTGCAAAATGGGTTTGCTTCTCAAGATAAAAGCAGCCAACTTGCCCCATCATCTGGCTAGTAGCCAAGGCTCTCTCTATAGCCATCAAAAGCTTCAAAAAACAACATCATGGTTTCCGAACAAAAAAAGAAGAAGAAGAAGAAAAATTGAAGTAAAAATGGGCATGCATGGATTGATTTAGTTGTTAATTACTACTAGTACCAGTAATTTGATTAAAGTAGTTGGGTGTATATGGAATTATGCGAGCTTCGTGCAAGTGAATTTCAAACTTAATCATAGTAGGATCATTGAAACTACATTTTAGTAAAGAATTATACTGTCTTTTTGCATATTAGAGGAATCTCATTGATGGAATGCTCTTTATGTCATATAGTTTGTTTTATCATTATGTAGGGACCTTAAACGATCTAAGGTTCATGAATGTGAATGTGACTCACGCAGTTCTCAGTGACCAGTGCTCACGAAAGTTGTGTTGGCTCTTTTGAACCATTTACAAGTTGAGAAAAAAACAAAGGGGTCCCCATCTGACAATAACTGCTACTATGTAGGACAGTAGTGTGTCTCTTTCTCAGGCACCACTATCACATTATATATGGTGAAAACGAAGCCTGCATGATTTCTTTCACATAAGCTTAAGTTTACTGCAAAAGTTGTTCTCTTTCAAATGAACTATTTTCAGGCCTCTGGTCGTTCCTGAACTTAAGTTCAAGTGCAAGTGCAGTCATAATTGCATTCTCCACCTCCTAAATCTCTTGAAAGTTTTAAGTTAAAATCGATGCATCATGGAAAGAAGATATTTGTATTACAATCAAGAGTGTACTTTAATTGGAGTATGTAAATACTTTTAACATCTATCTAGAAGTTAACAAATTATATCATCTGATTCACCTCTCATGCAAAGAGCTATGCGCATAGGATATTCTTTTTTATCTATAACTGACAATACTATATTTGGGAAGAGTTTTCATGCGATTGATTTGAATTTAAACATTGGTATAAAAGTAAATAGAATTAAACTATATTGATAACGTTATTTAGTTCGACAATTATTTAATTACAAATTTAACTAGTTTTTTTTTTTTTTTTGTAAATACAAATTTAACTAGTTAAACTAATCTAATCATGACTTAGAAGTTATTAATCTCCAATTTAGTTTTTAAAACATTCGTTTATAAGTACATTAGATAAGGAATTATCAATAAGAAGGACAATTAACAATGCAAAACTAAGGGTGAAGTATTAAGAACCATTCCCATTACAGCAATAACTATTCAGAATATCAGTCCTTTCATTAATTTTGTAATAGCTATTATTTAGACCAGCCCATGTAGAAAAGCAATATTCTGTGAGGAAATGATCTGATATATAATCTTTTTACTGTTACCATGTAACAAATTCAAAGGACATAATTTAGTGCTTCCGAAAGGAAGCGCCATTTTTCTGACATAAGCATAATTGAAGGGTGATTGAATAGTCAATTTGATTGGTAATTATGATTTAAGTCAAACTTAAAATCTTGTTGTACACACAGACTAGATTTGAATGCAGTTAGGTTACTAATTTAGTGTCCTAAGGTCCAATATGAAAAAGAAACACAGCGACATTCACCCAATGACCGGGACGAGGACTAAATTGTCACTGTTTAGTTAAAATATTAACAGAATGTCATATCTCATGATTTTTTTATCAAAGTGTCACATCATCTGTCTCGCTACTCCATGTGGTAAGTTAGGATTAGCCACGTGGCGTGGCAGCACCTGATTGGCCACGTAACTAGCTGCGCAGTGCAGTTAGATTACGTGGCAGACAACCCCTGTCACCGTCTGCCACGTGGCCTAAAGCGCTGGGCTACGTGGCGTCTTATGTGGCCAAAATCACTGGACTGCGTAGTTGTTTATGTCGCGGCTGTTGAAACACTCAACGCATGTGTGACACGTGTCACACTGTGGTAAACCCTCTTGGCTGAGCAACTGGTTACTTGCATGTGTGACATGTGTCATTTAAATGAAATTAAATAACATTAATTTAATACTCCTAAATTTAATTACTTAACATTTACAAATAATTTAGGAGTTTAATATAAGTTATGAGTGATAATGAATTTAGGAGTTTTTATGTTTGTTAATTAATGTAGTGTAAATTAGTATAAATTTAATTAAATTATTTTACAATTATCATTTGATAATTTTTAGGAGTGTTAATTATATTAATTTAATTTAATTTATGCTAATTGAAATTGTTTGTAACGGTTAAAAATTTTAATATAATTGAGGAGTGTTAAAGAATTAAACTAAATTAAATTAATGTTAATTATTTTAGTTTAATTTGGAGTATATTAATTTAAATTATTTTAGAATAATTAATTAGTTATTTTTAGGGGTGTTAACTAAAATAATTTAATGTAGTTTGTGTTATGTTAAAAATTTGTGAACTGTTACGTTACTTAACTTGATCAAGGGTTGTTAATTAATGTAATATATTTTATGTTTGTTAATTGAAATAGTTTAATTTAATCTATATTAATTTAAATTGATCATAGCGATTAATTATTTATGTTATAACTGTTAATTACTTATTTTTTGGATTATAAATTATTTTATTTTAATTAGCAATATATTAAGTTAAATTATTTGTAAGTGTTAAGTAGGAGTATTAAATTAAAATTATTTAATTTCATTTAAATGACACATGTTACACATGCACGTAACCAGCTGCTTAACCCAACGAATTTACCACAGTGTGACACGTGTGGTAAACAGCTACGCAGTCCACTGTTCTTGGCCACGCAAGACGCCACGTAGTCCAGCGCTTCAGGTCACGTGGCATACGACGTAATCTAGCTGCACTGCGCAGCTAGTTACGTGTTAACCAGGTGCTACCACGTGGCCAATCCTGACTCGCCATGTGGTGTAGCGAGACTGATGACGTGGCACTTTAATAAAAAAAATTTTAGGGTGTGGCATTATGGTAATATTTTAGGTAAACAGTGACAATTTGGCCGTTGTCCCCCGAATAAAGTGCGTATATATTGTACAATGAGAGGGAAAATTTTGGTACGATTCATGTTGTCCTTCCATACAAGGGGTGATATTTTGGATAATTTTTTTTTTCTCCTTTCTTCTATTTTCTTAATAATTATCTGATTTTCATCCGTGTGTACCACTGAATTAATGGTGATATGCACCACTGAAATTATTCTCTACAATGAACCTCTTAAGTCTTGCTTACTTGTCCTTCATTTTCGTGAGTTCTCAGCCAAGTTTGATGTGGACAACCCTGACATTCTTTTGTAAAGATTCAACGTAAGACTTCTTAGTCAATGAAAATTCAGAATGAAGAACTTTGATTAGTTTGAAACAAACTAAATAATTCAGAATCAAATCCACCTTTTTTTAACGTGATGTCGACAGAAGCAACAAATTATATTTCTTTGATTTTCTTTTTCTTTTTCCTTGTGTTTACTTTCATTTCATCAAATTGAGTAAAGATGGGGTGACCCTCTCGACCCATTTTGTCAGTGAAAGAAAAACACTTTTTTAAAATAGCAACTTCTCTTGCGCAAAAAAAAAAAAAAAACAAATTTAGAGTTGTCAAAACGGGCCAACTCATCTTTATAAGTCCTAACTCTTATTGGTTGGAAACTAAAAAACTCGTATGGCCAAATGATACATAATAATAAAGGTCCATACGGGTCAAAAGTCCTATGAATTAGATCAGCTCACAAATCATCCAAAATTATAATTTCAAACAATTTTATATTTTTTACCATATTTAATACATTCAAAATTATTTTAATAAATGAATATTTAACAACTGTATAAAATATTCTATAAAAATTATAAATTTTTCATAATTTAACTTTTTTAATAAAACAATATTTGTAAAAAAATATAAAAGTGATGATGTAAACAAATTTTTAACATAAATTAAAATTTAATTTTACTATCTTTGTTAAATTTCGTTGTTAAATGATACCATAAAATGAAGATCTTCTCATAAGGAGTCATAAGAGCGCCATTCACCGCAGCAACTCTTGTGGAAAACCAACAAGAGCTATGGAAAAATTATCTTAATATTGTGTTGAACAAGGTATTAAACAACTATTCTTTGTATGCTATATATTTAAAATTTAAACCAATGATTTTCTCCAATTATTACTGTTATAAAAACCTTTTTGTTAGTTATTATTCGAAAAACTACCAAGGTGCACTATATATAATATGTTTCATTGCAAATTTGATATACAAGACGTCAATAAAGAATTTTATTTTTACTATGTGCAGATGAAATTCTTCGTTGCAATATATTATCACCGGTGAAAATTTAATTTTTACTTATATTATGATTATAATATATTTTGTATTTATATATATTTAAATTTATATATATATTTATTTATTTATTTTAAATATAAAAAAGTTTGATGAAAAAAAAATTTGGCTCACTGATAGGCTTTGCCTAACCCGCTAAATTATATGATTTGTGGATTTAGGCTAAAAAAATCCCTACTACAAAAAAGTCCCAATGGATAAGAGCAAAATATAGAAATTTGAGTACTGACTCACCGGAGTCAGCTTATTTTGATACCTCTAAATAGAAGTAATAAATTGCACATCTATTTTTTTTTTTTTAAAGAAAATCTTTTTTCGCTTAGAGTTTGCATTTGACATATATTTTAATTTCTTATTCTTAATGCTTTCATAAAAGTTTACAATTGAAAAAATTACGCAACAGGCAGCAGTGCAGCACCATTCCCAAGGATTGTTTTAGATATGCTAACACAGTAACACAACCCATTGTAGGATCTTTACACACAGAACTTGCGTACATCACTTTGGCCTTGGATTTGAAAATTTTCTTGAATCCTTATCTTTTAAGATTAGGTCTTATCTAGGGGTGAAATTGAGCCGGACCAATCTACAGGGACTTATAGCTTGACCTACGTCAGGTCAAATCTGACTTAGTATATTTTATAGTCGGACTTGGGCCTTGAAAAAAATTGTTTAATAAAAATGTCGTAGGCTCACTTTCATAAAGCCTAGTCTATAAGCCTACAGGCCGACCTATATTGTACTGTTTATTTTAAATAAAATAAAATATAATAAGTATACCTTGAAGAAAAAATAAAAGATATAAATTTAATCAATTACAATTA